AGGCTAAATGTTAAAAACAATGGCGCCAAAGATGGAAGGAGCCAGGGTCCCTGAATGACCGCCTGAAGTCAACCTGATCACCAAACCCCATCGAATAAGAGATGAACCTCTACTGCAGTGGTTCTCAACCTTAGCTGCACATTAGAATCACCTGGGAATCTTTTAAAAATCCTGATTTCTGGGTCTCATCCTCTGGAAGTTCTGTTTCTTTGTTACTAATGTTGTGGTCCCACCCCATAACAAAGAAACAGAATTTCCGGTGGATGAGGCCCAGAAATCAGGATTTTAAAAAGATTCCCAGGTGATTCTAATGTGCAGCCAAGGTTGAGAACCACTGCTCTACTGTCTTAATTCACTGAGGATTGAGGGTTGTTTGTATGTTACATCCCTCACAGCAAGCACCTGAGCCCTTCCCCAAATGGTGACAGGAAGGCATCAGCCACACAGATGTCCGGAGTGGACTGCTATTGCCTCTATTTAGGAAACTTGAGTGTCTTTATTGAATTCATTTCCTTCTTTTCCAGCCTTCCCTGTAGATTCCTTTATTTCTTGGTATTCTTTCTATATCTGTTTCTCTTTTATTATATGACCCGTCTGATGTCAAATGTATTCACTATTGATAAGAGATTCTTTTAATGTTTTAAAGAGGAAGAAAACAACTGAGTACTTCACAGATTAGAACAAAGAAGAGTGTGGTGTGGCAACCCTATGCTGAGGCCTGATGAGTCCAGGGCAGATGCGGCTGCCCCTCTTCTGCTCAAGGGAGTCAGATGGCAGCCCTGGGTTTTACCCCTGGTTCCATAGCTTGTTTTTGTGACTTTAGGTTAAGTTGTCTCAGCACACTGCTCCCTGGGGTATAATAATTGCAATGGATTCTGCTGTTTTTGATTTGAGGAACATTGCTGACTCATTTCTGCCTCCTTCACCTACATCAAGCTTTAAAAACGGCCTCTCCCAACAAAAGGGGCTTGCTTTCTCTCATAGGAAGACCTTGACTTTCAGGTTCCTTAACACCCACGGTCAGACTTGCTATAAAAACCGTGTGTCTATATTTTAATGTCTTTAGGATGCTTTCTGCAATAAAGCTTGCTTCTCTGTGCTGTACTAACAACTCTCTACTTTTTCCCTTCTTTCTCCCCTCTGTTCTGATATTCTCACTTCTTGTTCATTCTTCAAATCAAACACTATTGAGTTTATATTTTTTTAAAAAAAAATAATTTCTGGGCAAAGTAAAAATTCACCTAGAAAAGGTATGTATGTGGGTCTGTTTCTAACAAGAAAAAAAATGTTGAAGAGTAAAGGAGTAACTGAACTCAACAGAAAACATTGTCGAGGCTAGTGGAAATTAGGAGTTTTAATAGCATATGCATTTTTTTTTTAAATATATTTTATTGATTTTTTACAGAGAGGAAAGGAGAGAGATAGAGATAGAGAGTTAGAAACATCGATGAGAGAGAAACATCGATCAGCTGCCTCCTGCACATCCCCCACTGGGGAAGTGCGCGCAACCCAGGTACATGCCCTTGACCGGAATCGAACCTGGGACCTTTCAGTCCGCAGGCCGACGCTCTATCCACTGAGCCAAACCGGTTTCGGCGCATATGCATTTTTAAGTGTGAAAACAACACAACATTGAAACGTTTTTAAATCTTAGAATTTCTCCACCCTAGCATAAGAACTTTTTAATTTTTAATTGTTTTCCTTCAGGAGTTGTTCATGTGCCTCTTTTTTTTCACATAATTATAATCTCAATGCATATAATTTTATATTTTGGTGAATTTGTTAGGGAAACTTTTTTTAAAGTTCTTTTTTGTATTTTGTAGATGAATTCCAGGTATATTGAAGAACACTTTTAGGGTCAAAGCTGAAAGCCTGCTAACATTGGGCATCCAGATGTCATAGTTTCTGGCTGAAGAATGAGCTGGTCTTGAGAGCTAGAATGACACCAACCTCTGGACAAAGAATGATGAGTTAAGTGGGGCTTGTAGATGGTAGAGTTGCATGTTTTCTAACTGAAAAATGAAAAATTTATCAAAAAGTACTTAGGTATTGGGAATTGTTTGAGAAAGGTTGAGATGCGTGTATACCTCTTCTAAGGGGTTCTGAGGCCTTAATATTCAACCTCCTCCAAGTTATGCTACTGTATGTGTCGAAAGGGGGGGTTTAAGAGACATAGTCTGTTAGGTTTATGACTCTTCAGTGCATCTCACCTAACACCCTCATGATATATAGACAGGAATCTGAATCCGAGGATTCTGAAGCTGAGAGAGAATACGGACTTCACTGTTGCAGGAACAGAGGTGGGGTGGGAAAGCAGGTCTTAGCATTTCTAGCTCAGTGCTCTTTCCAATCCTGAGAGGAAGGAGGAACAAAGAAATGAATAGGATTAAGAGAGCCCAGCCGGTGTGGCTCAGTGGTTGAGCATCAACCCATGAACCAAGAAGTTCCCAGTTCAATTCCTGGTCAGGGCACGTGCCCGGATTGTGGGCTGGGTCCCCAGAGGGGGGCATGCAGGAGGCAGCCAATCGATGTATCTCTCTCATTGACGTTTCTCTCTCTCTTTCTCTTTTAATTCTTTTTTTTTAAGGATTAAGAGAGGAAAGGTGCAGTAGAAAAGAAAAGAAAAGCTAGAGGAAAGGAAGATGGTGCAGGGAAAGCATTAGGATGAGGGTTTCAAGCCTTTGCTAACCTGAAGAGCAAAACAGAAATCAGAGAACACTGAGTCCCCTGAAATGAGCATCTCACTTCAGATGTGTATAGGGGTATTAGAGGCACGTAGGGGAGGCAGCGAAGCAGTGGCTTTCTGTGTCTGCTTGGAAATCCAGTTTCCAGGAAGAGAAGACAGTGTGATGGAAGGTGGTCATTCGGGGGCTGCGAAGAACGCCGCCTCTCCTTCCTGGTTCACGTCTGTGGAGGCAATGATGTCTTTCCTTTTTTTCTTTCATAATTGACATTTTATCAATTGTTTTGAGGATAAGTACACAGACATTTCCATTTGTACACAATTCTTAACATACGTACCAAAAACTTAAAGTTACGTAGTGGTGATTTTTTTCTCAATAGTTATTCTGGTGAATTTTCAGCTTAAAATATGGAGGCTAAATTTCCTTAACGAAGTATCAAGTGTCTAGATCTTCAAATGTTGATGTGCTATAACATCAAAGTCCCACTAATTTGCAATGTAATGTCATATAAGCTACATGATGAAATCTTCAATCTTTCACAGCACATTAACAAAGTTACCAGGGAAAGGACTGCCTCACCCAAGATGTTACAGATGCACAAAATTCTGACAGGGAGAGCCAAGATGGAGGAGGGGTTTTCTTTAGGAAACAATACTACCAACAACATGGGAATAGATGTAATTTAAAACTTTCAAGACATTAAATGCACAACTGATGCCATATTGCCATTTAGTATGCTTTGTATTATAGGATATAACAATGACCCCCACCTATGGAAAGTTAAGATAATCAAAGCCTCCCATATTCAATATCCCACTATTTTCTGGTTATACCAAAACAAAACAAAACAAAACAAAAACCCAAAAAACCCCACAAAAAACAAACAATCAGCAAATGATTTCTTCTTTTAAAAAAGCATTTACACTACAAAATAGTTGATAAAAATATTCCTCTGGATTGTTTAGGAAGGGAGACAGGGACCACTGATAAGACATGGTATTTTATGTCTTATAATATGATTAATATGATACTAATCAGACTTGGCTTCTTTCTCTTCTGCTTCGCCTGAAGCTAGATTCTCCTCATTTTTAGTTTCTCCATTTCCCGCAGGTAGATCTTTAAGTTCTCGGCTAGCCACTTCAGCCTGTTTTTCCCCTATTCCCTTCATTTGTACTTTTTTTGTCTGCAGATTTATCCTTTCCTGCTGCCTTTTTTTTTTCTTTCTTCATTTCCACTTTTGCAGGAGCAGGTATAGCTGACAACTCTTGGATCTCTTCGCGACCCCCTCAGTGGTGTGGTGCTGACCATCCTCTTGGGGAGGGTGGCTGCTGGGCCGGTGCTTGCTGGGTGCCTTTGCGAGCCTGGGCTGCCTGGCCCCTGCTCCTTCTCCCACCACCCAAGCTGCTTGGAGCCACCGCAATGCATGCCTTTCATGTGGATTCTTGAGGACTGTGTCTAGCTGAAGAACAGATACAGGTGACCTACTAGAAGTGCCCAGAGCTGACCAATGCTCCACAAATTCCCCCGGCAACTCCTTTCTGGATAGTATGGGACTTCGGTTTGCCCTGGAGACGTCACTAAAGAAAAAGTTAAATACACAAACTCAACCTCCCTCACGTCATTAAAAGGTCCAGAAAGATTTTATAACTAGCCCAAAGTCCCATCGCTTAGAAGAACATAGCTAATAGGGTATAACCACCCCCCCAAAACTTAGTAGACGAGATAGTCTCCCCAAAATGGCTGCGATAAGGCCCTTTGATTCTTATACACACATGCTTTGCCTCAAACCAAATGTGTGAGTCTATTTCCTCTTAAGTCTGGTTGGTCTTGTGACTGCTTTGTCCAGTAGAATGAAGTGGGTGTTCTAGAACTCCCAAGCTCAGTCCTCAAGAAGACTGGCAGTGTCCATTCCCCCCGGGAAGCCAGCTGCCAAGAAGTCTGG